CAGGACTGTCTGAGCTGAAAGCCTTGAAGAGGGGCCCTGAGGCATGGGGAAAAGGAGACATTCCCAAGCCCACTCTGTGCTTGGCCTCACTGGAAGACAGAGATGAGGATGACTCACTGGTCTGGACCAATACATTGCTAAGACCCCCCCCAACACACACACACACACACTTTGGGTACTTCTAGCCTCCCCTGAGGGTAAAAGGGTTCTATGCCAGTGGGGGTGAAAGGTTAGGCAGGCCTGAGCTGAGGGGCTGGGCACACTGGGGAAAGACAGAATTGGGGCAAGATGCAAGAGGGTCAAGAAGATACAAAGGTAGGCCGGGTGGTGGTGGCGCACGCCATTAATCCCAGCACTCGGGAGGCAGAGGCAGACGGATCTCTGTGAGCTTGAGGCCAGCCTGGTCTATAAAGTGAGTTCCGGGACAGGCTGCAAAGCTACACAGAGAAACCCTGTCTCGGAAAACGAAAAAAAAAAAAAAAAACAAAAACAACAAACAAACAAAAAGGAAAGAAAACAAGCAGCAGCAGCAGCTACAAAGGTGTGTGGACACCTCAGGTACCCATCCCCTTATCCTTCTCAGGCCTTTTAAAGAGTCCATCAGGAGCTGGGCAGTGGTGGCGCACGCCTTTAATCCCAGCACTGGGGAGGCAGAGACGGGCAGATCTCTGTGAGTTCGAGGTTGGCCTGGTCTACAGAGTGAGTTCCAGGACAGCCAGACTTTGTGATCACAGAGAAACCCTGCCTCAAAAACAAACAAAACAAAGAGTCCATCAGCCAGCACTATCTGTTCTTTTTGTTTGTTTTTTGAGGTAGGGTTTCTCTGTGTAGCTTTGGAGCCTGTCCTGGAACTTGCTCTGAGGACCAGACTGGCCTCAAACTCACAGATATTCACCTGGCTCTGGCTCCCAAGGACTGGGATTAAAGGTGTGCTCTGTTCTTATAAAAGGTCAGAGAAGGGAGCATTGAAGGCGCCATTATCTCCCAACATGGCACAGCCAGAGAGATTTCTGTGAGCCCCTGACTGCCTTCTCAAGATTAGGGATTCGGCCCTGAGCACGCCTGTTCTGCCTAATCTAGGCCTCAAGAAGGGTTAATAAACTAGATGGGGCTGAGTGGGAGCCAATGTCCTCTGTGGGGGTGTGCACAGGCCACGGACCCTTCCCGGAACCCATGTCCTCTGCGGGGGTGGTGCACAGGCCACGGACCCTTCCTGGAACCCATGTCCTCTGCGGGGGTGGTGCACAGGCCACGGACCCTTCCCGGAACCCATGTCCTCTGCGGGGGTGGTGCACAGGCCACGGACCCTTCCTGGAACCCATGTCCTCTGCGGGGGTGGTGCACAGGCCACGGACCCTTCCCGGAACCCATGTTCTCTATGGGGGTGGTGCACAGGCCACGGACCCTTTCCGGAACCCATGTCCTCTATGGGGGTGGTGCACAGGCCACGGACCCTTCCCGGAACCCATGTCCTCTGCGGGGGTGGTGCACAGGCCACGGACCCTTCCCGGAACCCATGTTCTCTATGGGGGTGGTGCACAGGCCACGGACCCTTCCCGGAACCCATGTTCTCTATGGGGGTGGTGCACAGGCCACGGACCCTTCCCGGAACCCATGTTCTCTATGGGGGTGGTGCACAGGCCACGGACCCTTCCCGGAACCCATGTTCTCTATGGGGGTGGTGCACAGGCCACGGACCCTTCCCGGAACCCATGTTCTCTATGGGGGTGGTGCACAGGCCATGGACCCTTCCCGGAACCCATGTTCTCTATGGGGGTGGTGCACAGGCCACAGACCCTTCCCGGAACCCATGTCCTCTATGGTGGTGGTGCACAGGCCACGGACCCTTTCCGGAACCCATGTTCTCTATGGGGGTGGTGCACAGGCCACGGACCCTTCCCGGAACCCATGTTCTCTATGGGGGTGGTGCACAGGCCACGGACCCTTCCCTGCATGCGTGGGCCACGGTGCACACATACGGGTGCAGATACCAAACAAGATTGATCACAGTACAGAAGGGCAGCTGGAAGCCCCGAGGGAACAAGCACTGCTTTCTCCCAGTTGGTGCAGACAGGAAGGAAGTAAAAGCACAGAGAAGATGCTCAGGTTAAGACCCACGGAAAGCCAGGCATGGTGGTGCATGCCTTTATTTCCAGCACCGGGGAGGCAGAGACAGGCAGACCTTTCTAAGTTAGAGGTCAGGCTAGTTTACTTGCAAAGTTGCACACACCAGTCAGAGCTACACGAGGAGACACTATCTGGGGTGTGGGGGAGACAGACAGAGACAGAGATCCATGGGGAGACCTGAAGGTCTGGCACACGGCAACTCACAGGGATGAAAACAGACATTCAAGAAATGGACGAAACCCTGATATTTACAGTGTCGGGTGTCCCGAGAGAGACTGCTAAGATGGGACTGGATTGCAATTTATCAGAGCGCCTCTGGGAAAGTGTATCCGGGTCTCTCTTCTGTTTGATGTCAACCCACTGTTTCTAACGTGTTTGTCTTGCTGCTTTGAACTTGGGCTGATGTTTTCCCAGGTTATCTGGAAAGCAATGTGTCAACTGAGCACATGAACCATGAATAAGCTCTGGCTGTCTCTTTGCTTACCGCCTGCCTCAGGGCTAGGAGCACTGAAGAGGTGGGACATTGAAGAGGCTCCACAGAGGTTGGTGGGACCTAGATTGAGGCTGCATGGAGGCTGGATGGAAGCTGTGTGGGACTCACAGACTGTGTGTGAGGGTCTGGGGTTAGAGTCAGTGTGAACAGAGCTTTCCCGGGTACCCTGCCCACACCTCAGCTTTCAGGGCAGCCCCAAGTGCCTGCCTCCCAGACCCGGCTTCCTTTTCAGAAGTCCAGTGCTATCCCTGGAGATTTGCCAGGTGGGACCCACGCAGTCTCTGATCTCCATTGCAGTGACAGGCAAAAATGTCTACCATTCTGTCCACATGAGCTAGACCCCCAGGACAGACAATGAGTGGAGCCTCGTGACTGTGAGTGCAGCCTCAGCTGAGGCTGATACTACCACACAGGTATCATATAAGATGGCCAGCTCTTGCCATATCCATAGAACTCTCAACTCCTACTCCCTGGGTCTGTCCAGGCTTGACACAAGAGGAGGATACCAGCCTAGTGAATGAAGGTCCTTTATAAGCTCCACGCCCTGGCTTCCGTGTGACATGTCTTTGGCAATGTTTCAATGACAAGAGCTAAAAGGAAAGGATTATGGAATCTCCTTAGCATTGTCTAGAAGGGGCTCACACAGACTTGCCTGTGGAGTCTGAACTGGGTTTGTACTTGCTCTGAAGAAACCTGTCAGGTGGTAGTTTAACACAGGCTGGACCCATGTCTAGGTTGTCACCTCATACTGGAAGTCCAGATGACACTTTCTCAAATGCCCATGGCTGTCCTCAACTACTAGAACCTGCAGGATCACCCTTGTTCCAATCCCAAACCCCTGCCTATTGCTCACACCTGACCCCAGCTTTAGTCCCAGCTGAGGAGGAATGTTAATTGGCCATGTGATCTTTCTGGAAACTTCTGGAACTTCATTAAGGCCCCTGGTCTATTCCCACTCAAGTACTGCTTTTCGTGCTGTGTCTGGCTGGTTTGGGATAAGACGGCCAGACCTCTTCACCAAGTAAGTACTGCCTAAGACTCCAAAGGCCGCAGAGACTCTCAGTTATGACTATGGAGGAAGCCCTGCAGCCCATGGAATGCCTGTCTTAACCACAGCCAGAAATTCAAGGGCCAGAGCCACGAGATGAGAACTTCAGGGAGGCTGGGTACCACATCTCTGACTGGACGGGCCCACGAAGCAACAGCCTGGCAAGGTTAGCCTCATCCACCAGCTAGAGTTTGACTGCTCCCCTGTGACCGTCTCAAGGGGACCAACAGGGGGCAGCAGAGGCCTCAGCACTCAGAGCACTGCCTTATCCAAGGTACAACCTGCTAGAACAAAGGCTCCCTCTGCATGTGGGGATGAGCAGGGGCATCCTGCTCTCTAACAGGTGGGACAATGCAGACCCAGGCTCCTCTACTGGAGCTCCTCAGACCTTCATTGGCATGACATCTGCTCATTCCCAGGGTCTAGAAGCCCCGGCCCCCACACCTTTTTTTTTTTTTTTTTTTTTTTATCATGTTGCAGGGCAATATAAAGGCCTGGATTCCTGAGCTGTCTTGGGCCACCACTGAAGGCAATATGGGCTGTGGGAGTGATCTCAACATCAGGGTGACCTGCCTCTGGGGTGCACGGCCATGCTGCCTGGACAGAAGAGGGTTGCCCCACTGCTTTTCCCAGGATGCTATGTCAAGATGGCCGGATGAGTCTGATTCTTGGGGACATTCTTGGGACTCTGTTTATGTGAGTGCAGGGGGAGGGGTCAGCCCTTCTCTTGGGGATGTGGCTTCAGGGAGCAACTGTGGCCCATGCTTGACCTGGCAGAAACTGGGCTCCCCCATGGCATTTCTGTTCCCAGTTCCTCTGACTGTTGTGGATGGGGAAACAGATGGCACCAGAATGAAGAGACAAGCACACTGTGCCTCACTGGGCAGGGAGTCCTGAGAGCCAAGCACAAGGATGCTGAAACCCTCCTTGGCAGGGACACACTTGGACTTGTACTGCTGGTGACAGACAGGGCCCAGCACAGCAAGGCTGGATGTAGGCTGGTTCTCAGGTGTAGACTTAGTCACTGGGGCATTCAATGTCCATCTCCTCCTCAAATGCACAGAATTATCCTTCAGCCAAGAAACTTCTCCAGTTCCCAGAGACACCAACTGCTGGAGCCTTCTCCCAAGTGTCACCATTTCTGTTCCTATGTCTCCTCCTTTTTGTCTAGTCTTTCCCAGAACTGACTACCTTCCGTGGGCTATGTGGGCTAGGGCAAGATGTCCAGCTCCACACACAGGTAGGTGTTTCTTCCCTACGTGGGAACCCCTCCTGAGGAGTGAGGCCTGCAAGCCATGGTGAGCGACCCACACACTCAGAGCTATCAGGTGAGAGGCTCCTTCCTTGATTTACTCACAGATGAGAAGATTAACACATCAACAAATCAAAACTCAGGCTAACTCATAAGGCACTCTGTGCAGCAGCAATGGGCTGAAATGGGAGGTGAGCAGGCAGGCACTCAACCTGGCTGAGGAGTGCCTTCATTGACGGGGCTGTGTCCCAGCACCAGGGTTGCACAGACAGGCTTCTAGACACGGTCCTCGGGACCCAACGCAGCTCGTCACGTGAGCACTGGATCCTCGATGCCGTGGTCAGGGTTGCAGGTGAAAGCAATGGTGATGGCATAGCGGGTGCCCCAGAGGACCTTCTCCACCCGGTGCAGGTTCTCAGAGCCTGAGGTAAAGAAGGAGACTCGGCCTGGAGGGAGAGGAAAGAGGGGTGACCACTTGCAGGATGAACACAACAGCACCGGACAAGGTGGTGACGCCCCGACCCTCAACTGCTGTTACAAAAGCCGAAGGACATAGAGAACTAAAGCAGCAGCCATATCAGCTCAGAATTTAACATCCAGGGAAAATAAAGTTTAAAAAATAATGAGAGGCGCCAGGTACAGTGTCTGTTCTGCATCCATGAGGACCTGGGCTCATCCTCAGCACCACTGAGGGGGATAAAGAAAATTAGAACACTCTCAGGAACATTACTACAGCCTCCACGACACAGGTTGAAGGGAGATGCTCCCAGCCAGAAAACAGGATCCAGAAAAGGGTGGAAAATACTGGAAGGAGTGAGCAGGTGGTGTGGTGTGGAAGGAAACCCTACTGCTAATTCCCAAGAAAGGGAATAAATCATTTAAGGGGGAGGGGGAGGATAACTTAATAAGACACTATGGTGTTGGTTTATCATATAGCTGAGTAAAATATATGGAAATGAAAACACAGAAGTTACAGGAAAACTTATAGGTGGAAGTGGGTCAGCAAAGCATCTTGGTATTGGCTTTAATTACTCCACAGATTCAATGTAACTCAGAACAAAATTTCTGCAGAAATTAGCAAGTAGACTCTAAAATTCATTTAGAAATGAAGCCAAAAAAAATTGACAGCAAAAAAAACTTTTAAAATGAAGACTAAGGGCTAATGCCACCTGTTTTCCAGATTAGAAAGCTACAGTGGTTGAGACTCTGTGTCAGTCACAGAGGGTCGTTTTGCTCGGTGGACAGAACACAGCACCCACAGCCAGCAGCATATGGATGTGGTCTTTGGATCTGTGACAAAAGCTTCAAGGGTCACTTGATGGGTAAGATGTCTCTTCAACAAATGATGTTGAAACCGCTGGAAACCCATATACAACAAGTGAACACTGGCCCCTACCTCACACCATACACCAATATTATTTCAGCATGGATCAGAGCTTTAATATAAAAGCCATGAAGTCTCTACAAATAAACACAGAAAAAAATCCTATAATCTTAGGGTGGCAAATATTTCTTAGGCATTAAACTATGAACACTAGAAAAAAAAACAGTAAGTTGGACTGCTTGAGAACTTTGGCTTTGATTTCCTTCAAGAGATGAGGAAACAAAGCCAGGTGTGCGGCACACAGCTGTAATCCCAGCCACTGGTAATAATGGCAGAGGGTCAAGAGTTCAAGACCTACCTCATGAGACCATCTCAAAACAAAACAAAAAACAGACGGGGTGGGAAGAAGAGAGAGACAGCGAGACAGAGAAAGGTGTGAGCCAGGGAGACGGTGCATGGGGAGTGCATGGCTGCAGGCACACGGCCACAGCATCGCCCTTCCACAGGCTTGACTCCTGTCCCCTAACTGACAGGTGACTTGGGGACAGCCAGCGGATATAAAGAGGCTCAGCTTGCAGGATCCAACCCCGCACAGCGAACAGATTATCTCCACAGCTGCAGACTGCAGCTCACTGCTTTGTGAGGGCACACTACTCAGTGTCACCTGACCTTCCTCACTGCTGGCAGACTCTCAAGACACCCCAGATGAAGGTGGTAATGCTGATACAGGCAGTGCAGGCTTCAGGCTTCATTTAATTTTAATGAACTCTGACAGCTCAACAGTCCATGTCTCTGAAATGACAGCTAAGTCTGAGGGGCCTCGGAGTCACAAAGGGTAGGACCCTTACAGTGGAATCAAAACGTCAGCCCCAGAGCAGAGACAAGGACAGACTGACAAGAACAACCAGCACGATGATGAATAGGGATACCCCAGTTCTCAGAATGGGATTGCATGACACCCACTATCCCTAGGAAGACTGCCTGATGGCCACCTACTTCCTTAAAGCAGGACTGAACATGGCGACTGAAAAACCAAATCATAAAGTATCCCGAATGTCTCCTCATGTCCTCATAGTCCCTGAGTGACAGGTGACCAATCCCGAATGTCTCCTCATGTCCTCATAGTCCCTGAGTGACAGGTGACCAATCCCGAATGTCTCTTCATGTCCTCATAGTCCCTGAGTGACAGGTGACCAATCCCAAATGTCTCCTCATGTCCTCATAGTCCCTGAGTGACAGGTGACCAATCCCCAATGTCTCCTCATGTCCTCATAGTCCCTGAGTGACAGGTGACCAATCCCGAATGTCTCCCCATGTCCTCATAGTCCCTGAGCGACAGGTGACCAGAGCTTTGCTGGCTTTCAGTTCAGAGTGCTTGGGACCCCTAAAGGGTGACCTGGGGTTGCAGCACAGGGTGGGGACAAATTAATGCTTGACTGACCACACCTTACCTATTTCAGAGAAAGGACTGATGGCAGTCTTTGCTGACCTGGGCTGGGGGCCCCACCACAGTCTAGGCAGCTGCATGATTTACAGTAGGGCCCGGGGCAGGCTAGAGAGTTCCATGGGTTGGGGACATCAGCTATGCTCTTCTTACTAACATGCAATAAAACCCTGGTCACTAAGGCTCAGTGAGTCCCTGGTCAGAAGGCCCCAAGTGTGTGTCTCATGGGCGGCCAGAGCTGGGATTTGAGGTGACTGGCAGGAACCTTGCCTGGCTCCCCAGGACTCTTCCCTTGAAGAGTTATAACTCATAATGAGTCTCATAATGAGCTTCGGGCGTGTGTGAATGGCTTTAATAGTTCTGAGTGCCAGGCTGAGCCGAGGCCAAAGCAGATACAAGGAAAGGAACAATGCACCCAGGGATGGCCATTGTCATGACTCTAGGAAGCTCATTATGAAACTAGATATTTGTTCTTTCTATAGTTTATGTTTTGACAAGGCTTCTAAGAGGCAGTGCTGGGTGTACACTCACAGGAGTGATGCTGGCAGTGTGCCTAATGCCGTACTTACCCTAGTCAGTGAAACCAGAGGTTGGCACAGTCCGTCAGCCTTTACACCCATCTAGGGAACAGGCTGGGTCCTGACCACCAGACAGCCCTAGACAGGACCCGGGGGGTCTCAAAACAGGTCCCTCCCTGTTCCCCTTCAGGAGACCTAAATGGTAAAGTGATGTCTTGTGGTGGTTTCAATGAGTATGGGCTCATAGATTCGAATGCCTGGTCACCAGGAAGAGGCACTGTTTGAAAGGATTAGGAGATGTGGCCTTTTGGGAGTGGGTGTGGCCTTTTGGGAGTAGGTGTGGACTTGTTGGAGGAAGTGTGTCACTGGGGGTGGGCTCTGAGATTTCAAGAGCCCAAGCCAGGCCCAGTGCTCTCTCTTCCTGCTGCCTGAGGATCCAGATGTAGAACTCTCAGCAACTTCTCCAGCACCGTGTCTGCCTGTATGCCACCACGTTCCCTGCCGTGATGACAATGGACTACTTGTTGAAACTGTAAGTGAGCCCCAGTTAAATAATTTCCTTTATAAGAGCTGCTGTGGTCATGGTGTCTCTTTATAGCAACATACAGTGACTAGGACACGGTGTCTCTTCATAGCAACATACAGTACCTGTCCTCACAGCTATCAAGCTCCATGAGGCTCTCATGCCAGTCTCTTCAGCTCCAATCTGCAGGGTGACCATGGCAATGCCATACCCATCCTGTTCAGTCTCCGTGGTGCAGACTCCTGTACCATCTGAAGAGCAGCACTGTCTCCTGAACACACCCTTCACTCAGTCTGGGGCCTGGCCTGGTGTAGCCATTCTGTCCTCAGGCCATCAATAGAGGCTCACACCACACTGCGTGAATCCCTGAGCCCCAGCTGCCTCTAGGATGTAGACATGGCCTGCCCCATGCTCAGTGCCAACCAAAAGGGAAAACAGTGACCTTTAATTTCCCATTCTGCTTTTTGGTTTAAAAGCCAGTTTCAAAGGCTGGAGAGATGGCACATCCGTTAAGAGCATAAATTATTCTTGCAGAGAGCAGAGAACCCAAGTTCAGTACCCAGCACGAAGGTCAGGCAGCTTACAACTGCCTGTTACTCTATTCAGAGAATCTGATGCCCTCTTCTGGCCTCTACAGGCACTGCATTCATGTGCACAAACCCACACTCACACACACATAAACACAACTTTTTTTTGGTTTTTCGAGACAAGGTTTCTCTGTAGCTTTGGAGCCTGTCCTGGAACTAGCTCTGTAGACCAGGCTGGCCTCGAACTCAGAGATCTGCCTGCCTCCCAAGTGCTGGGATTAAAGGCATGCACTTCCACCACCCAGCCCTGGACTCCGTTTCTACATCCTACTCAGACCTAGGTTCAGTTCCTACCTCCCCACTAGCACCTGGACTCAGGCTCTCCAGGGACATTGTCTGCTCCCTGGGGAGAACCATGTAGCATGCATGGTGCTGGGGACTCTGGGTCTTCAGGCCACCAGGGAGATGAGCTCTGAGGCAGGCCCCACAATGGTATGTAGGACACCATGTCTAACACTGCATTTACTCTTTCTTGTTTTCCTATCTTTATTTTGAAGAGCTAGGGATTACAGGGCCTCATGCATAACCACTCACCACTGTGATGCTCCTCAGCCAGCATCGCCTAATCTTAAATTGTTAGGTCCCTTCAAAAGAGGTATTGAGCAGTCAGGAGGCAGAGGCAGGCAGATCTCTGTGAGTTCAAAGCCAGCTTGGTCTACAAAGTGAGTTCTGAAACAGCCAGGACTGTTACATAGAGAAACCCTGTCTTAAAAAATAGTAAGAAAAAAAAAAGGTATCGAGAATGCAACAGAGTCTGAGGAGATCCTACCCACCAGTGTGATCCCCTAGGAGCCCAGCCCTGCCAGTCACATCAGCGTGATCCCCTAGGAGCCCAGCCCTGCCAATCACACCAGTGTGATCCCCTAGGAGCCCAGCCCTGCCAATCACACCAGTGTGATCCCCTAGGAGCCCAGCCCTGCCAGTCACACACAGTGACGCTGGACAGCTGAGTAATAAAGCTGGCCTCTCGGTGTTATGACTGGCATGTAGACTTGGACAAACCCAGGGCCAAACCCAAAAGATGTAGAGTAGGTGTTCTACAAATGTAGTATTGCCTGGAATGAAGCCCAGCTCACCCATAATGTGTGTGGTGTGTGTGTGTGTGTGTGTGTATGCGTGTATGTGTATGTGTGTGTGTGTATGTGTATGCGTGTATGTGTATGTGTGTGTGTATATGTGTGTGTGTATGTGTGTGTGCGTGTGTGTGTATGCGTGTGTATATGTGTGTGTGCGTGTGTGTATATATGTGTGTGTATGTGTGTGCGCGTGTATGTATATGCATGTGTATATATATATGTGTATGTGTACATGTATATGTGTGTGTAAATGTGTGTGCATGTGTATGCGCGTGTGTATGTGTGTGTATGTGTATGCGTGTGTATGTGTATATGTGTGTATGTGTATGCGTGTGTGTATGTGTGTGTGCTTATGAACATCTACAAATGTTCTAAAGCTGAGCTACAGACCTGTATCCCATACCCTAGGACAACCCACCAGCCTGTGTCCTACCAGCTCTGGGCTCCACCGTCTTGTTGGACCCTTCCTCCATGAACACAAAGCGCCCTCCGCCGAAGTCCTCTGAATAATCCGATAGGTAGAGCAGTGAGGTGTAGTCAAAAGAGCCATAGGTCACCTGCAGGGTGAAGCAGAATAGGTCAGACTTCTCGATTCTTATGGGGGAATGGGGCTCTTCTTAAAAAATTGTATTATTATTTATGTGTATGTGTCTGTGTATGCCATGTGTGTTAAGGTGTCCAAGGAAGCCAAGAGAGAGTATCAGATTCCCTTGGAGATCAAGTTATGAGCCGTTGTGAGTCATGCAATATGGACCCCCTCTACAGGATCAGCAAGCGCTCTTCACCTTTGGGCTGTCTCTCCAGCCCCAGAAATGAGGCTCCAGCCCAGTTATGTTCCCGCAAAGCTGCATGAAGGGGTGGGGAGCACAAAACAGAAGTTGGTGCAAACTGACTCCTACCCTGAGCATAGCAATGTGAAGTGTACTGTCTAGAAAAAAACATGTCAATTGTGATCAACTGTGGAGCCGTCCCAAATTTTATGTAAATTAAGATAACATGCTCACCCTGCTGTGTGGCCATCCCTACCTTCTCTCCTGGCCTATCTTCCCATACTGGACATCTGTCACACTGACCCTTAATTCCCAACCTGGTCCCTGGCACCCACCGGTCTACCTTCTCTTTGAAAATGTGGCATCTTGGGAAACCTTCCGAGAGACTCAGACAATTGTTAATGCGTGAGTAGCATGCTCCACTGGGTGCAGGAGCAAGTTTGCCCATGCTCTTCTATGATCCAGACATTCCTGGAACACGCAGAGTACATAACATCACCCTGGGGACTTGGTGAGTGATGCGAGTCTTGAGGAGGAGATGGTAATGCTGACTGAGCAGGATCGTGGGCAGAGAGGAGCCTTTCCCATCACTCATTAGTGCTAGGTTCCAATTCAAATATGGTGAGTTGATGAATTTCCTGAGGCCTGCAGCTTTCTCCATAGAAGAAGGTGACACCACCCCCAGAATACGGAGGCTTGTACCCAAGACCCTCGCAGGACCAGTGCTGTGGGCAGGAAGAACTTCCCTTCTGTTCCATACAGTTCTACTGCACCACTGGACAGAGACCCATCTGGAGCCAGTTGTGTACCCCCGGAATTCCTGTGATGGTTTAGTACAACTGGTCACTTCCTCCTGCCCTACTGCTCCTGCATACACCCCTACAAGAGTCCCACCCCAGTTCTTACCCGGGTTTTGCTCTGGAGATACCCTAGAACAGAGCAACTGGATATAGAAAACCTTCAGCAGAACCAATACTTAATAATGTATCAGAAAATTTGTTTTACATCAAAGTGACATGAGCATGGAAAACCCTGCTACAGCAAAAACATAAAATGGAAATTTATTTAATGGGAAGCACGGAGTAAGCTGAGCACGGTGATCCATGCCTGTAATCACGGCTCTTGGGAGGTAGAGGAGGAAGGATCAAGAGTTCAAAGTCATCCTCAATTGCATTTGAGTCTGAAGCCAGCCTGTATTACATGAGACGCTGCCTCAAACAAAACAAAATAAAACACACAGAAAGGAGGGTTTGGGGAGAAGGGGAATGATAACATTTGCTATGCCACTGAATAAAACGTGACAACAGTTATAAGGAGAATATTTCTTACTTTTAAATATAACAGATGAAAATGCGAATATTAACCCACAAGTGGCTGCTGCTAGTAAGAAGGGGGCCGGAAAGCACAGTGGTTAATAGACACTTCTGGGCCAGTGAGATGGCTCAATGGGTAGCAGAGCTTCAGGGCAAGCCTGGGGCTTGGGCTCCACCCCCTGAGCCCATGAAAACGTGGAAGAAAATTAACCTCACAAAGTTGTCCTCTGACCTCCACGCATATGTCCACACACATATGTCATGTACATGTACACACACATGGACACACAATAATGATAATAAATATTTCAAAACATTATTTAAAGGATGTTTCAGAATCTGAATATCTAGTTTCATTAGAAACAACAAAAAGGATAGGATGACCCAGTGGGTGAAGTCTGAATTCAATCCCTGGAACTGTATAAGGGTAAAAGGAAAGAGCCAATGATATAGGATTCCCCTCTGCATGCTTTGAATATGTTTTATTATCATTGGTTAATAAAGAAGCTGCTTCTGCCTATAGTAGGGCAGGATATAGCCAGACTGGAAGAGCTACAGAGAGAGAGTAGGCGGAGTCAGAGAGACACAATGTAGCTGCTGAAGGAGACAGACACCAGAACCTTATCTGGTAAGCCACAGCCTCATGGCAATTCACAGATTAATATAAATGGGTTAATTCAAGATGTAAGAGCTAGCTAGAAATATGTCTGAGTCATTGGCCCAACAGTATTGTAATTGTGTACAGTGTCTGTGTGACTCTTTTGGGTCTGAGAGGCCGAGAAACAAAAGAGCAGTCTCCAGTTACAAACCAACTCTACAAAGTTTTCTTCTGAATTCTGCACGTTCACCATGGTAAGCCAAGCCCAGTAATAATAAATTAAATTACATTTTAAGGAAAGACAGCACTACAGGTGTAGAACTGTGGCTGGCAGGGTTCTGTGGATGGGACCAGTAACTTCGAGATCAAGTTTGCCATCAATTGCTTAACAGAAAAGAAAAAGCCTTTAAAAAAATATGATTCCTAGAAATGACAAAACAGGGTATTTCATGCATTTTTTTTTATATAAAAGTATTTGGAGATGTCAGGTGGTGGTAGCCCACTCCTTTCATCTCAGCCCTCAGGAAGTAAAGGTAGGTGAACCTCTGAGTTCAAGGTCAGAGAATTGGTCCACAAAGCAAGTTCCAGACTACACAGAGAAACCGTCTTGAAAAACAAACAGCAACATAAAACAACAACAACAATAAAAGAAGATAATTGGCCATGGCTGTTGTGTTGATTTGTCCAATATTCTTGTCTTCTTATATTCTTTACACTTTTGATACATTGGCTACATTATATTCTTTACACTTTTGAACCTTGTAGGCTACATTGCTATTCAAACAGCCAAACTTAAAACGAGGCACACCGACTAGAAGTCATGTGACCATGGTGCACAGCAGAACGCTGTGGCAGTCACTCAAATTTCCAACCCGTTCTGTTCCACTGAAGCATTTTCCCCCAGTACAGTGTCTCGCTATGTGGCTCTGACTGTCCTGGAACCCACTGTGTACCAAGCTGACCAAAGCAAACATCTAATTAGAAACACAAGCCTCAGATGCTGCTCTGGTTCCCAGACAGACAGAACTTAGTCATGGGCCACGGGGATCTTGGAAGACTTTAAGACAGTGCAGTAACCACAATCCACCAGGCAGAGACAGAAACTTCACAGCCCAGCAGAAACTGAGGGGAGCCAGGCATGCTGGTGCTAGCCTGCGATTTCACTCCAGAGGTGGAGGAAGCACCATTGAGAAGCAAGTTTAAGGCTAGCCTGAACTACACAAAGACACAATCTCAAAACAAGCAGAATTCTTCAGTCTGAAAGCCACAGTGCATTGGATCTCATCTGATGGGAACAGGTGGTTTGTGTAGGCCTAGGGCAGAGGATTAGAGTACACCTGGAGGGCAGAGAACTAGGGAAGTGGAGCCTTGGGGACATGCCTAAAGTTCTGGGATTCTCTCACCACGTCCCATGAAAAGAAAAGAAAGGTTAGTGCAGAAAAACCTACCTAAAGAAATAATGGCCACAAACTCTCCAAATGCAATAACTAAGCTCACACTCTACCACGAGCAGTAACCAAGCACCAGGAAAACCATTTTAAAGCTTTCCAAACTTTGAAAACTGCACATAGAGGGTCCGAGAGGCGCTCAGGGGTAAGTGAGTGTGCCTGCTGCTCTTGCTAGGACCTGAGTCTGGCTTCTAGCGGCACTCACACTGGGCAACCTACAGCTTCGAGTAATAATACCCCCAGGGGATCTGAAGCCATAACCATCTGTAACTCCCATTCCAGGGGATCTAATGCCCTTTCCTGACCTTCATGGGCATCAGGCATGTATGTGATACACATACACACATGGAAGCAAAACACTCATACACATAAACAACAATAACAACAACAAAACCCCACAAAAACAAAAAAAATGCACATAGAGAAACATCATTGAGAGACAGGGATATAGCTCGTTGGGACAGAGCTTTCCTAGAATGCTTTAGGTCCTGGACTCCATCCAAGCACCAAAAAATAAAATAAGAAAAATAAGAAAAAGTTGGCCAGGTGTGGCGATGCAGGTCTTTAATTCCAGCACTTGGGGGGCAGAGGCAGGAAAATCTCTGTGGGTTCAAGGCCAGCATGGTCTATAGAGTGAGTTCTAAGCTAACCAATGGGCCATGAAGAGAGAGAGAGAGAGAGAGAGAGAGAGAGAGAGAAGCTGAGCGGTGGTGGCACATGTCTTTAATCCCAGCACTCAGGAGGCAGAGACAGGCTGATCTCTGTGAGTTTGAAGCCAGTCTGGTAAGTTTCAGGACAGTTAGAACTGTTACACAAAGAAACCCTGTCTCAAAACAAAAACAAAACAAAAAGAGGAGAAAAAGATTGTATACAGGTTTTCTTAGGCTGGTTATGGTTGGTTCAGGAACTGGATGAACAAACTGCAGATGGGAAAGTTGCAACTGTATCAGAGAGGGTCACAGGTAGAGAAGGTCGTGTTGGACAGAGAGGGTCACAGGTAGAGAAGGTCGTGTTGGACAGAGAGGGTCACAGGTAGAGACGGCGTGTTGGACAGAGAGGGTCACAGGTAGAGACGGCGTGTTGGACAGAGAGGGTCACAGGTAGAGACGGCGTGTTGGACAGAGAGGGTCACAGGTAGAGATGGCGTGTTGGACAGACATAAACAGGAGCACAGTAGTCACAGCTATGCCCAGGCTGGAAGAACACACCAGAAGAGGTATTACTCTAGCAGCTAAGCTCTAAAGGACAGACTTCACTGCAGGATCAGAAGTCTCCTCACTTTGTCAGCTCTATACTGGTGCCTGGAAGCTATACTCACTCAAGGGCCCCCCAGTCCATATTTCATGAAATAGTAAGTATGTCCAAGCTCCTGCAAGAGGCACACCAGTGGGCCCCTCATGTAGATGTGATTTGGGGAGAAAGGATGGGGTCTTAGAAAGCTCTGGGCTCTGACCATTGCTGCTGGGCCTACACAAGGCACTGAGACAGAGCTCCAGAGTTTCCTCAGAGACCTAAGCCAGGTATGACAGCCATTTCTGAGTAGCTACTTGGAGGAGCCTCAGAACACACTGCAGACGGCAGATGCTACAAGAAGTGTTCAGTGTCCTGTATTGCAGGCAAGCGTCTGCCACATTCAAAGCTGTTTTCAAGTGATGTCAGAGAGAACACTCACAAATCAACATCTAGTTAATAAAGTTATGGGCCACAAAGATGTGATGTGTGATGTGCACAGAATTTCAATCACATTAGAACACTTTCCAGCCTGCTGAATGATTCAATTAGCAAATCTGGAGTAGGAGAGAAGAAGAATGAGATCCCAAGGGCCAGCCGCAAGCACTGAGTCACCACCACCCTCCCACGCCATCCTCAATTCCCCACTGCCTGCGTCCTGAGTTTAAGGACAGAATCAAGTGATTGATCAGCCCTGTTGGCACTGTGAGAACAGGAGCCTAGGGAAGAACAAAAGGCCAATACCTCCTGAGCAAGTCTAAAGCCTGCTCTCTGTGCGGCTTCTGTGCCCATCAGTCACCATAACAATGGTCATCTCCTAACAGGGATGGGAATGTTCAGGAGTGAGCAGCAGGCCCTCAATGATGGGCAGGCCAGTGAGGGACAAAGGGAGGAAAAAAAGGAAAAAAAAAAACTGGGATGGAAGGAAGACGTCCTGTGGGGGTATAGAGACCTGGGCCAGAGCAGTAACAAAAGGGGGCCTCTGCTCACACGATCCAATCAGAAAGGTTGTACATGAATTTGCCGACACGTATAGAACAAGGACACAGCAAGGCCCATGTTGCTCCCCGGCAGCCACACCAGCTGTCCCAGCCCTCGACACCCACCTAACTTAGACTGCACCCTAGAAGCCCGGAAGGAGAGGTCTGAAATAGTGCACATCAATATTGCAGAGCAGTGCCTAGAATTCTAGTCACAGATAAGAGAAGGAATCCGCTTCCCAAATGCTTACCTTGTCCACGTGGGCATGCCAATACTCATCGTGAGCTGTCTGGGCCTCTGTGCTATTTATCCGGGAGAAGAATGTGGGCTTCGTCAGAAACAAGGAGGACGCACGGATGCCGAAAGCTTTGGCAATGGTGAGCTGGACCTTCTGCCGCACGTCCCTGCACAGGACACAACGGATCAGTCTGATACTTCCGGAAGTCTTACCGTTTTAAATGTTTTATAGAGTGGAACCGATTGGGATATTCTTTTCACTTTTCCTCCCAATTGCAAATCTTCGCTTAACTCCTCAACCAAACAAGAATATAGCAGACCTTCGGATAAAATCAATATTTAGTGTTTTCCACTTTTAATTCTCTTGTATATTATCTACAGGTAGCAACGTCTGGATGGGGCATTCATGTGCCTGGCAAAGACCTTCATGCTTGCTGTGGCGGTAGTCACCGTGATTGTCACCCAGAAACACAGTTTCCTGTCCCACTGTGCTGGCTGTCTAGGAGTTCACAGTTGTCCAGGTTCTATGTATGGCATAGAAAGTGCTCTCCCTGCTCTCTGTGGTAAGAAGGTCTGTGTCCACGATGATCAAGGAGAACATATTACTCAACTTTGTTTTCCTGTCACATTAGGTATTTTTGTAGTTGTTGTTGTTTTGAAGGGGTTGGTTTTGTGGTGGTTGTTTCTGTTTTGTTTTTGGATTTTTGAGACAGAGTTTCACTGTGCAGACCTGGCCATCCTGGAACTCACTCTGTAGACCAGGCTGGCCTCAAACCCAGAGATCTGCCTGCTGCTGCCCCGAGTGCTGGGGTAAAGGCGTGCCCCATATTTTGTGTGTCTTCTAAACTGTGGAACTTACAATGTCAACGAATCACAGACACTTCCCATTTAAGTCAGTGTGTGCACACTTGGAATAAACAAAGAACAAAATAAACCAGTGAGGGCTAGGAGCACACCTGGCCAGCTGGACACAGTCATGGGCTGTGGCCCAAGTCTTGAGAGTATCACAGAGTGGAGCTATGCGCAGGGCGCAACCCTTGAAAGTCGCTGCAAAGCTCCTGATGGCTCCATTCCACCTGCAACAGTAGACTTAAAGAATTATACACGGCCGGTGGTGGTGGCGTACACCTTTAATCCCAGCACTCGGGAGGCAGAGGCAGGCGGATCTCTGTGAGTTCGACACCAGCCTGGTCTACAAGAGCTAGTTCCAGAACAGGCTCCAAAGCCACAGAGAAACCCTGTCTCCAAAGACAAAAACAAACAAACAAAAGAAGGATACATGTATTGTGAATTAAGTGACAACTTGCTGTTGCCACTGCCAGGTGTGCAGAGTTAGTCCAGGCCCTCACCTGCTCTCTGGACCAGAACCTAAGCTTTGTTCAGGAACTGTTTCCCTGGGGTAATGCTTCCAGGCAACATGGCTGGTGATGAGATGATATTGATCATCAGAGATGGGTGAGCAGAGGGCTACAAAGGGCAGCAGAAGCTTGGTGCTCTGACGGCATGTGCAGTGTTCAACACATGTGCTGATTCAACACAACCGAGTAGGCGATAAAATTCAACACACACACACTCATACATGGTTATGGGTAAAACCTGGAATTCTGAACAAGGTCAGAGTGCGGTACCAGTGCCCTTTTTGGTGAATGATGTCATGCTGCAGTTAGGAAACATTAGTAACAGGACTAACTAAATAGAACGTGTATATAATCTCCCTGAACTATTTCCTATGCTGTAAGACATTCTTTTAAAAATAATTTTATTTATTTTTATCTCATGTGTACCAGTGTTTTTGCCTGCATGTATATCTGTGTGAGGGTGTCGAATCCTCTGGAACTAGAGTTACAGACAGTTGTGAGTTGTCATATGGATTCTGAGAATTGAAACTGGATCCTGCTGTGAAACAATCTTTGTACACTGTAAATGTGTATTATTCTTATTGAGTAATAAAGATCTGACTGGCCTGCAGCTGGGGAGGAGAGATTGGGCAGGAGAGCCAGACTAGAAGAATTCTAGGAAGAAGCAGGGCAGAGTCAGAGGAGTCTCATCAGGGGACACAGAGGGAGCAAGATATGCTGAAGGACAGGTAAAGCCTCAAGCTACGTGGCAATACATAGATTAATAGAAATGAGTTGATTTAAGTTGTAAGAGCAAGTGAGTAATAAGCCTGAGCTACCAGCCAAGCATTTATAATTAATATTGAGTCTCCATGTCAGTTATTTGGGAACTGGCAGACAGGAAAGAAAAGTCCACCTACAGGGACCTCTGGAAGAGCAACCAGTTCTCTTAATCGCTAAGTCAACTCTCCAGTCCCCTGTAATACACACTTTAATAACCTTCCAAAGATTTAATTTAAAAAAATTCCCTAGATAGGTGTAAGGCCCACAGGTCTACCCCTCCTCCCAGGGTTCATACTGAGGACAGCTTGCAGTTTCTGGAAAAACATCTTGTTTGCTCCTGTGCTCGCTCTGCCCACCCTGGTGGTTAGCTACAGGGGAGTTGTTTACTCTGCTTGAGCTGGTAATTTCCCACCTGCCTAGGGGATTTCCACTGTGCAGCAGTTAGGTATATAAGGCTTTCTCTAAGCTTGAATAAGTGGCATTCTGCATTCTGTCTTCACGAATGACCCATGTCTCTTGTGTTCTTTAATCTCCAGCCCCTTGCCCGACTCGTGAACTGTCCCATAGTGCAGGCGCTACAGGCGGAGGCCCACAGCGAGATGGGGAAGTAGGAACCCCAGAGAGATGGCCCTCGGAAGGCTGGCCAGCAGGTGAGATATTGATGGTGAGGGTTAATTGAAGATGGGTGCTGGTAATTTTGTTCAAGTATTGACTGACCAATTGAAGTTCTTTTAACGAAGCAAGGAACTGCTATTAAAACTAAGTCACCACAAGAGTTCGTTAAGACAGTTTTATAGTTTAGTCCCTGGTTTCCACAAGCTAGGGACTTTAATATTCCTGATTGGGAGCAGGTAAAGGCTGATCTTCAAAAAGCTAAAGAGCGAGGGCCAGAAGAATCCCCTACAGCAACATTTCACTATGGTGCCTAGTCAGAGATGCTCTTCTCAGTGATGATGTCAAAGTGAAAGAGCAATTAGAGAATTTGGCCAAAACCTTTGAGGAGATTCAGGGTGAAGAATCTGTGAACTCAATTAAGAGCTTTGAGGAGGGGGAAGTTAAAAGTACTAAAAGGGATACAGAAGAGGAAGAAGAGACTTTAGAAAGGGAGATTGTACTGTTAAAAAAGAGGTTGGAAGAAGAAGGAAGGAAGCAGACAGAGATGTCTCCATGAGACCCCCACAGCAGAATCCATTCCTTGACACTTCAAATCCTTCTGCTGCTACCTCCATTGCTGCTACCCCTACTGACTTAGAGGTGGAAATCCGAGAAATCCAAGATACACTAAATAATCTAAGTAGAGAGGGGCAAATTTATCCTGTCATGGGGATTATTGATCGGCAAGGACAGCGGATCAGGCAGCATAACCCTCTGGCCTTTAAGGACATTAAGCAACTACAGGAAGCAGTTATGGCCCATGGGACTCATGCCCCCTTCACTGCGGCTTTAATGGAACCCTTTGTGGAACTCAACCTTACGCCCAGGGAATCAGATGGGCACTGGCAAAGAATCCCCCGTTTCTGATGCCAGTGGAACTGGGTAGCCCTGTGTGGCCCTGTCTTATCTATCAGTTTCAGCCCAGGTAAACCTGCTGTGCCTTTGGATACCACCCAAAACAACATCACGGGGATTTGGATTCTAACTGGAGTCCTGTGTTTCAGAAAATTAAAAACCTCAGGAGCCTGCCTAACGATTTCAGTTCCATTGCTGTAAGCGGTTGCCTCGCACTCAGCAATGCTCCCATTGCTGATTTTGGTCCTGATGCCACCAGTGCCTCCGTGGTAGGTCTCAGGAAACCCTACTTAGCAAAACATTGTCCTTTCCGCGCGGGGGTTTGTGTCAGGCCCCTTTCTTTTTTGTTGTTTGATCATCCTGCTAATATTTCTGGAAGTTTAAGCTGTCCTGAGGTTTGTCAACTGAGGAGTTGCTGGGGTGGTCTGAGCGCCGGGGATCCACGATGATCGGCTCATCCTGCATCGAGCAAGAAGAGGTTTCAGCGTTACAGCAGCCTTAGTGGCGGCCATTGCTGTGGCTGTCACAGCGGCTACGGCTAGCACGGTGGACACCTTATCGGGGCAGGTCGCAAGGGCCTTGGACGCTCAAAACGATATTAATAGCCATATTCACAAAGGAACACTCTGGGAAGCTCACATGCTATCCTGTTCCCCTTCATTTCATTACAAACTTAACAGACACAGGGAAAATGCTTAATGCTGCTATTCACGGACCCTGGAGTGCACAATTTCTTAACCTTATGCACAAATTGGCTCATGAGATTATTCTAGTTAATAATACCAGGGTTCCCCCCACCAGCGCTGAGACCTTACTTAAGGGGCTCCAACTTGTGGGCAGACTCAGTAAGGATTGAGCAGGCACAGCCTCCTGGGCGTGCTTATGTGGCTGGGAGCCTTCATCATCTTCATGTTTTTACGGCACCAGAGCCAGAGGCAAGCTCAGGTCAATTTCTCCACTCGGCAAATACTCTTGCTATTGCCCCGGAGGATCCTTCAGTGTAAATCTGGCTGAACATGATGGAGGGTGACTAGTGAGCCAATGACGGGAAAGGTCTTTGGGGGGCTGCCCCAACCTAAGACAGGAAATGTGTTTTGACCTGGATGCTTTCCCAAGACGGGTAAGGGGTGTTGCCTGACATCCAATGCCACCCATGACAGGCCTAGTCATGTGATTTATAAAAAGAGGGACCTGTAGGGCCGACAGGTCTACCCCTCCTCCCAGGGTTCATACTGAGGACAGCTTGCAGTTTCTGGAAAAACCATCGTGTTTGTTCCTGTGCTCGCTCTGCCCACCCTGGTGGTTAGCTACAGGGGAGTTGTTTGCTCTGTCTTGAGCTGGTAATTTCCCACCTGCCTGGGGCATTTTCACTGTACAGCAGTTAGGTATAGAAGGCTTTCTCTAAGCTTGGATAAATGGCATTCTGCATTCTGTCTTCACGAATGACCCACGTCTCTTGTGTTCTTTAATCTCCAGCCTTGCCCGAATCACGAACTGTCGCCTCTGGTTGAGGACAGAGCAAGAATCATGTGGCAGGTGCTGGGCTGAGACCAACAGCAAGACGTGTCTGCTATAGGACCAAGAAGGCTTAGAAAGTATTAGTGAGCTGCCCATCTACCCAGAGACAAGCTGAGCTTGGTCTACATCCACAGGTCTCGATCCCTCACACAGGAGCCATTGCCCTGGCCTGATGTGACGGGACATCAGAGAGCCAATCTCAGCCCACTGGAGTGATATTTCATTTGTATTTTAATAAATAAAGCTTGCCTGAAGATCAGAGAGTAAAACAGCCCCACTGGTCTGTCTTACAGACCAGGCAGTGGTGACACACACCTTTAATACCAGTAGCCACACTAGTTTGCCACAGAAACATGGCGGTAGTAGTACATGCCTTTAATCCCTCCCTAGAGAGGAATATAAAACAGGAGGAGACAGCTCTCACACAGTCTCATTCTGAGATTCCTGGAGGCAGGATCGCCATTTCAGACTGAGGCAGAGGTAAGAGCCAGTGGCTGGCTGTTTTGTTTTTCTGTCCTTCAGGTTGAACCCCAATTTCTGCCTCTGGGTTTTTATTGATCGTGTTACAGCTCACTTTGCATCTCTGGGCCCACTCATCCCTTCTCACACTTCATCTTCCTTACCTATATAACTGGAAGTCCTCCTCAGAGAAGATATTTTGTACTTTATCCCCAAAGTATCTGTGAAATAATAAATAACATTAGCAGATATAGCATGTTACTAAAGCATGCCTTAAAAACAAACAAACAAACAAAAACCCAGGGTCTCACTCTGTAGCTCAGGCTGATCTTCAACTTGGGGTAACCCTCCTGCTTCAGATGTCAGGAATAAACTACCACACCCAGTTTTCTTGTTTCCTTCAATCAGACTTTCATAGCTAATCAGCAAGTCTCCAAAAGCAGGGCTGTCACAGCACAAGAGTTACTCCCTTTCTACAGTAACCACCGTGTTATGGAGAAGGATGGAGAGGAAGGATGGAAAGGAAGGATGGAGAGGAAGGACGGAGAGGAAGGAAGGAGAGGAAGGACGGAGAGGAAGGAAGGAGAGGAAGGATGGAGAGGAAGGAAGGAGAGGAAGGACGGAGAGGAAGGAAGGAGAGGAAGGACGGAGAGGAAGGACGGAGAGGAAGGAAGGAGATGAAGGACGGAGAGGAAGGAAGGAGATGAAGGACGGAGAGGAAGGAAGGAGATGAAGGACGGAGAGGAAGGACGGAGAGGAAGGAAGGAGAAGAAGGAAGGAGAGGAAGGAAGGAGAGCAAGGACGGAGAGGAAGGATGGAGAGCAAGGATGGAGAGCAAGGACGGAGAGGAAAGAAGGAGAGGAAGGACGGAGAGGAAGGATGGAGAGGAAAGATGGAGAGGAAGGATCGGGCTATCACAGCATGAGAGTTACTCTCTTTCTACAGTAACTACCGTGTTATGGAGAAGGAGAGGAAGGATGGAGAGAGAGCAAGGATGGAGAGGAAGGATCGGGCTATCACAGCATGGGAGTTATTCTCTTTCTACAGTAACCACGGTGTTACGGAGAAGGAAGGGGACAGAAAGTGAGAAGGATGGAGAGGAAGAAAGGAAAATTGAGGGAGGAAGGGAAGTCGGCAGAAAGGAAGAAAGGAAGGGAATGGTGACAATGAGGCCAAGAACTCTCCTAGCCCTTGAAGAACTCGTGGCTTCCTGAGACCCATGCAGCCACCAAGCGCCCACCTGCTCCCTACTTCTGGCACTTCCTCCAGCCTCTCACCTGTACAGGTTCACAAAATGTTTCCCAACAGACAGGGCCCCAGAGTGCAAGTCCAGGATAGATGCCTGAAAAAGACGTGTGTGTGTGTGTGTGTAAAACAAGTGATGGTCACTTTAACAGCCAAAGTGGAGCCCCGTTACCACCCTACCTCTGGCTTCTTAAAAACCTTGCCTTGTGCACTGTCTGCCTGGACAAAGGTGTCTCTCTCTGCTGTCCAAAAGGGAAACCACATTGTCCCCTAACACTTTCAGAAACAGTCCCCGGACACACTTCCTAGACACATCTGGGAATGCTCACGGTGAGTCCCAGCATTGACTACTGCTTTCCTTCCCTCCACTAGGTCTGTCCACGTGTGAAGTGGGCAGTGTGACTAGTTTCTGCACACATGTGCACTTCTGCATGGACACCAACTACGCCCATCTGTGATTCCTCTCTGCTCTCTGCCAGCCCATCCCGGACACCTGAGGCTCCACTTTCTGTAGGAGTCTAGCCGTGTCCTGTTGAGATGGAGGAATGGCAAACAGACCCTGTGATAGGCTTCTTTCCTTTAGCGTAACTCATGCTGTTTAGCCCAGCTCAGCACTGAGGCTGTCGCTCCGCAAGGATGTGTCAAACCTGCTGGTCTATCCGTGATGCCTTGGATTTTTCTGTACACGCTGGCTACATGCATGTGGACATGTTCTGGGGGCTCCCAGTAAAACATGTTATATGGAACTACACATCGCTAACTTTTAAGGACCTGCTAAAATGTTTTCTGACCCTGACCGCCCACCTTTGAGTCTTTTCCTACATCCCAGGAGGAAAGCATGGACTATTTTACCCCATGCATGCAGTAGTAACAGACACCAGGCCCCTTCCCTTACTCTCACAATTACTTAGCTAAGGTGTGGACACAATGTGGGCTTACTCAGTATTTACTGAACTTAACGGTATCAGGGAATGCTGAAGGAGTAGGAGAAAGGTAACTCTGACAGTCTTTTAGCAAATATCTCCCTGAACCAAACTGAACAACATAAAAGGGATTCTACTTCCAGAACTCTAAAGAAAGAGCCATGGGTGAAGTCCAGCAATCACAGAAATACTTTGAAATTGGAGCAAAGTCTGACAGCCAACCTTCCCAAAGGCAGGGTCTCTGCAGACTTGCTTTGGGCCGATTACAGACTGCAGCACAAAGCAGTTGTCAAGATTCACAGGGAAAGGAACTCACCCTCAGCTATTTCCTCACACCAAGTAGAGACCAAGTGAGAATCCACACCACCACCAAGGTCCCAGTGGCCACCACCCAGCTGACCATTTACAGACGTGCGGCTAGCCCAGTTCATTCCTATGGCTGTACCAACATTTACAGACGTGCGGCTAGCCCAGTTCATTCCTATGGCTGTACCAACATTTACAGACGTGCAGCTAGCCCAGTTCATTCCTATGGCTGTACCAACATTTACAGACGTGCGGCTAGCCCAGTTCATTCTCCCACCTCTGAGGCCAGAAGTCTAGAATCAAGATGGGTCGGAGGCACTCCTTGGTTTGTGGCCTAAGCTCTAGGGCATGGTCCTTCCTTGTCCTAAAGCATCTGTGGCCCCTGGCCTTCTTTGGTTTATGGCCACATCAGCCCGCTTCCCACCTCCACGCACCCACATGTAGGCTTCCTCCTTTCTTTGGCTGTCTCTTATATAGACACCTTGTCCTTGGTCTTGAGGCCCCTGAGAGGGACTTTCCCTCAATTACAGCTCCAAAACCCCCATTTCCAAATTACATCCCAGGTTCCCCGTGGGCACACCAACCTGTTCACTGTGTGATCTCCTGTTGTGAAAAGGACGGCAGGCCTCCGCTGGTCTGCTGCAGGAGACCCGTCTAAGCATCATGGAGGCTTGGCCTTTCCCAGCAGCCACCTGGCCACCAGGCTTCTGACCTCCCCTTTTCCCACCCCTCCCCCATCCTCCCTGTCCCTACCCAGAGTGTCTAAAGTGCCAGTGCTGAAGCCAGGCAGCCTATGACAGCCTGAAGAGATGGCCATGTGTGACTTAACACATACTCTTCCCAGAGGGATATATTTTATGCCCACCAGGCAGAAGGAACCCCAACCACTATCTGAGAAACACCATGGACAGATCAGCTCATGTCTGAGGTGGGGAACAGAGGGGACCCTGTGCAGCCAATACTTTTTCCTTCCCTTCCAAGGAGAGAAAACTTAAAATGTATCAAAAAAAAAAAATGGGAACAGGAATCATGGCAACTCACCCCTCCATCTGATCCACCTAGGGAGAGTCCCTTCTCTGCTATTCTGTGGGGGATAAAACTTTAAATCAGAATTTAGTTGACAGCATTGTCCATAAAGTATCTAGGCAAAACATCAATCAGTATAATAGTGCCTTGTTTATAGGCTCTGCATGTTTAACATTTATGACACAAACAAACTCGAAACTGTAACTTTCTAAGCTGAGGATACATCATCCTCTCGCTACTGACACACAGCCTGCTTAAAAACCACTGGCCTAATTCCTCACCATAGAAGGTGCTGCTTAGTTTATCTGTGACCTGACAGCTCCCAGGTCAATGGAGATTTGGTAGTCACAGCTCAGACTGTAAAAGAACCACGCCAGCCCAGAGAGGCCAACCCTCCTGAAGAGCATCTTTGACAAGGCCACCCAGGAGCACTCGGCTCTCAGTAAAACACTGTAATCCTCAAGTATGACAGAGATACAGGATGAGGGTGGGGAGAAGGAAAGAGAGGACAGGCTCCTTGCTGGGCATCGTAGCAGGACCAGCATGAGGAATGAGGATGGAGGAGAAAGGGACTCAAGGTCCAAATGAAGGGTCGCATGTTGAATCTGACAGCTGGTCAGAAAACCTAATCTTTCTTCTTTTTTTTTTTTAATTTTTATTTATTTATTATGTATACAACATTCTGCCTCCTTGTATGCCCACACGCCAGAGGAGGGCACCAGATCTCATTACAGATGGTTGTGAGCTACCATGTGGTTTCTGGGAATTGAACTCAGGACCTCTGGAAGAGCAGCCAGTGCTCTTACCCTCTGAGCCATCTCTCCAGCCCCCCATAAGATCTTGTTTTTAAAACCCCCACAAGGAAAACTCCAGCACCAGCTGCTTCTGAGATAGCATTCATGAACCACAGAGGGATGAAATGCTATCCAGTGGTTGTCAGCTGAGGCTGGAGGAGGCCGTGTTTTCACAGAAGAGTAAGCTCCGTGGAGGGGAGGCTCAATCAGCAGAAACATTGCAAATGCCACAGCATTTCCTCCAAGGAAGGAGGAAATAGGAAACCTGCCCTTTGACCCCCAAAACCCTCGAGGATGATCCACAGAACCATGAGACTCTCGACTCTGTTGCTGCCCGGGCTCACTCCCCACTTTCTGCTATACCCATGTATGCCCTGGACAAAGTGCAGAGATGCGTGAGTACCTGCGAATCTGCTCCGCCTCCTCCCTGGTGATTACCATGTCAGTGACACCTCTGCCACACTTCCTGGGGGTGCAGCCTGGAGGATGAGAATTAAGAAGAAATGCTGACTACCAAAGCCGCTGCCCCAAGATGACGGCTGAGCTGGCAAGACCCTCCACTGTGACTAGGGGGCAAGTTTGGCTAATACACCTAGTTAAAAGTCAACTTCAGAAAAACAGTGGTAACTTTTCACCAGAACTGTGCCCTGTGCACAGTCTTAGAGCTCACATCTCCCTCCTGGTAGGTGTCCTGGGTTTCTCACAGACCCACACTGATAGGCTGATCCTAAACACCAGTCGCTGCCCCCAAACCTGGGAAAACAAGGAAACCTCCAAACATTGCACTGACATCTCTGTTTTCTTTGTCTTGTTAGAAACATGGTCTCACTATGTAGTTCATGCTGCCTCAGCCCCCTGAGTTCTGAGATTACAGGCCTATACTAGCCCACTAACAGTTTGGCAACATTCCTTATCTTGCTTGCTGGTTTGAGCACTCTTAAATACCCCCTGGAAAGTTCTGGCACAGCCCAAGCTGAACCTGTCATTCTGGTCACTATGCTTCTCCAGGACCACAGCACCCGCCTACCACGCTCATCTCTGTATCTCCTTCCACCTCGGGGTCATGCAGACACTGAGAGGAAGGAAGTCAGAAGCAGCTGAGACGGGGAGAGTGTGATGGGGCTCGCGGCCGTGGGGAGATGGACAGGATGGAGTGAACTGTGTAATGTTCTTACTGATGAGATGGGACTGTAAACTCATGGGGTCCTACTGCAAGATATGCTAACTCTGGATGGGAAGCTGCCATTTATTGTGTGTGTGTGTGCCCGCATGCATGCGTGTGTGTGTTATAAATTAAGATGTTTGAATGAAAAAGTCCTAGGACAGAGCATCCAACACAACAGAAGCATGCTTATTTTACTGACTGCTGAAGGAGAAAGTCATGCACCCTTTCTCCTTGACCACCCAGTCCACAGAGCACTCCCGGGCCGTCTCCCATGCCACTGTGTGCTGAATTCTTGTGCATCACAACAGTGCCCCCTAGTGGAAGAACATAGGTTCTTTTCTTCATTCAAGTCCAAAACATTACTTTGAGTAAAAAATAAACCATTCTATTGTGGAATATCAGTTTAAAATGTGCTACATTTGTTTATGCTGTGGAATATTTATTTTTTTATTTTTTTATTTTTTTTTTTGGTTTTTCGAGACAGGGTTTCTCTGTAGCTTTGGAGCCTGTCCTGGAACTCCCTTGGTAGACCAGGCTGGCCTCGAACTCACAGAGATCTGCCTGTCTCTGCCTCCCAAGTGCTGGGATTACAGGAGTGCGCCACCACCGCCCGGTTGGAATATTTATTTAAGGATGCAAAGATGTGTTCCATTCTTTTATGTTGCATTTGCTTAACTCTGTAAAGCTGTGCTACTTTGCCTGTCTAAAACACCTGATTGTTCTAATAAAGAGCTGAATGGTCAATAGCTAGGCAGAAGGATAGGCGGGGCTGGCAGGCAGAGAAAATAAGTAAGAGAAGAAAGGAAGAGCAGAGAGCAGGAAAAGGAGAAGGAGAGGACGCCGCCAGGGGTCAGTCATCTAGCACACAGCCAGCCACAGAGTAAGAAGAAAGCAAGGTATATAAAATAGAGAAAGGTAAAAGCCCAGGGGCATAATGTAGAAGAGAATTGTTTAAGTTAAGAAAAGCTAACTAGAAATAAGCCAAGTTAAGGCCAGGCATTCATAAGTAAGAACAAGTCTCCATGTATTTATTTGGGAGATGGGTGGTGGGCCCCCAAAGAGCAAAGAGAAAAAAACAGACAACTATACCATTCTTATGGCTTGTTTAGAGCCAGGTCCTGCTGCAGAACAATCCTTCCATACACTGTAAATTGCACTGTTATTTGTTCAATAAAGAAGCCGACTAGCCAATACCTAAAAAGGATAAGGTCAGACAGGAAAACCATACCAAGGACACTGGGAAGAAAAGGGGCGGAGCCAGAGGAGTTGCCAGGAGATGCTCCAAAACAAGTTGGAGGATAGGTAAAGCCACAAGTCACATGGCAATATGCAGAATAATAGAAATGGGTTGATTTAAGCTGTAAGAGTTAGCTAGTAACAAGCCTAAACTATTGGCCAAGTATTTAAAATTAATATTGAGTCTTCATGTGGGTTATTTGGGAACTGGGGGGGGGGGTAGGGGGAGTCTGCCTACAAGACCCAAAAGCTACAATGTATCTGGAGGGTACAAAGCATTCAGGAAAGCAGCAGTCCAAGAAGGCCTGCACCCCATGGGATCCATCAGGCCCAGAGGTGTGTGTTCCCCAGGGTGCTGACTGTCCTCACCGGGCTCTGTGGCCCTGACTCTGTGGTTCCTTCTCTATTGCCCCAGGGCTCCATTCTGTAACCAGCTGGCTGCTCCTTCCTGCCTCAACCAGGGCCATAGGTGGAGCTTCAGACCTGTGACCTGGGATGACATTCTTCCCATCACACTTTCTGGGCATTCCTTACCAGCACCTTGGTCTCTCACGTGTCATCCTCATCTTTCTGGAACTCTTTTTTACATTTATTTATTATTATAAGTTATTAGTTATTATTATTACATTTATTATATAGAGGTCAGAGTTGGTTCTCCTTACTCTTGATTCTCTTCCACCATGTGGGTTCAGGATATTGAACTGCGGCCATACGACTTGGTATTATGTACTTTTAACTGCCAAGCCATCTTGCTGACCCTTTCTCACCCTGGTAATCCTGTTACTTCTCTGCACACCGCCCCTGGGCACAGAAGCTTGCTGAGATGCTGTCTACACCAGAGTGCACCGGAGGCTGACCCTGAACCCTCTTTACTCTCCAACCCAGTGTTGGGAAGGGAAAATTCGTCTCTGCCCAAATATACCATTTTTCAACCGATTCCAGTTGTAGCAAAAAGCGATGTTGAATTTCATTTCTGTCCCTTTGACCTTGTGTATATCTGTGTGTATGTGACTGCAGGTACCTGCAGAAGAAGGAAGGGCTGAATCTCCTGAAGGTGGAGTTACAGGTAGTTGAGCTGTCTGTCAAAGGTGCTAGGAACTGAACTCAGGTCCTCAAGTTTTCTTAAACATGAGCCATCTCCACCATACACTCTTTTTTCTTTTCTTTCTTTCTTTTCTTTTCTTTTTTTTTTCTTTTTTTTTGGTTTGATTTTTTGAGGTTTCTCCTGGCTGTCCTGGACAAGGCTGGCTTTGAACTCACAGAGATCCACCTGTCTCTGCCCATCAAGTGCTGGGATTAAAGGTGTGCAACACCACCACCCAGCTTGTTTTTCCCGACCTGTCACTCTTTATTAAGAAACCTGTGGCACATACCTTCAAATCTTCGGTGACCATCATAGTCCTCCGAGCAGGGAACCTCAATGAACCTGCCCTCTAGGACCTCACCACAACGGGCCAAGACTTCAGCCACATCATCATTGGTCCCCAGACTACTCCAGAGCAGGAATGTGATGAGAGCAAGGCCAACTCCGAGGGCCACAGTCCTCAGCCATGTCCTCTGTGACTCCTGAGGCAACCGCTCCTTCTTGGTGCTGAGAACAGAAAACACAACCATTGGATGCAGCTATCTCAGTAAGCGTGCCGATCAAAACCACAGGATGTTCACACCGGATACCACCAGCCGTGGGCTGGGCCTACACTGACCTCTGATCAAAGTGGATGGACCCCTATCAATCTTGAGATATTGCAGGGACCCATGGGCTGATTATGAAGTAGGTAGTGGGAAACAGGACTATCCACCTCGGTCTACAATCCACCCAGCTGATCAGGGTGCTCATCAGACCTCACCACGCCCCTCACCCGAGGTTCCGCCCCTCAGAGGAGCTTCCCAGGTAGTATGCGGCCTTGTCTCCTCTGATCAGACAGGGCTGAGCACGTGCTTCAATGGACAAAAAACGTGGGTTGACCACGGACACTTCCTGCCCAGCCCACAGAGTTCCCATCTGGAGGATTGCCACGATCTCTACTCTCCTGCATCTCTGCTTGATTGCCCCACCCCAAGCACGTGTCTCTACAAGAATACATGTACACTTGAACCAACTTGCACGAATCGAATCCACTTAACTCGAATCATAAATCTGGGGCCAGAAAAACAGCACAAAAGAATATCAGAAATGATGTATAAGTTGATGCCCCTATGACCCAGTTCTGCGTGGTCTGTGTCTCTACAGATCTCTGTGTATAACTGGGATATATGCGTAGTGCTGTTCAGGAAAGGTCTGACGGGCCATAGGTCTTGAAATACACGCCGAGTTGTCGAGAGCTAGGTCCCTGTCCTCAAAGGCTCCATCCTTTGGATTCAGGTATAGGTTTGTCAGAAGCCCACAAGGTCAGTTTCGGGCAGGTGAAGTGTGAAAGGCCGGGATGAGGTAACCGGCAAACATGTGGGGAGATGGGACACACAGCAGAAGGGAGTCATAAAGGCCCAGAAATACCCACTCGTGAGAGAAACCTGCTCACTCAAACCCACTTCAAGGATGAAGCTCCCTGTTGGCAGGGTCTGCAGAACTCCTTGGTGGGCAGCCACGCGGACATCCCACCGTGGGATATTTGCAGCAGAATACTCCAGACCACACGCTCTAAGTCACGCCCGCCTGATCACACTGCAATAGGGCTGGACCCATCCCACACCACGCCGGCTTGCCATGACCACGCCCACTCCTGTCACGCCCACCTCCCGCCAGGCTCCGCCCCCGGAATAACCACGCCCACACGCCGCCAGTCAGGCCCGCTCGCTATCGCACGCGGCCTCCCGACGTCCTCTCTACCTGTTCGCGCGCCGGCGCTCGGCTGCACTACTTCCCTCGGGAACTTTGGGTGGTCCCCTCCGCTGAGGCGCCATTGGGCCGGGCCGCCGCGGAGCCAGGAGGGACACGAGAGCCGCTAAACCCGGGGCAACAGCCGCGACAGCGAGCGCGAGGCGGACGCGGTGCGGGGACGCGGGAGCGACGCGCTCGGCCCTCGGCCGGCTCGCGGCCAGACGTGAGCAATCGGAGGCCGAGTGGGGGAGGGCGTGGCCTTCTCGGCCCTGGGCGCCACTGCTTGGGGCGCCTTTGGAGGTCCGCGACCCCTCGGAGCGGTGCCGCGCAGTGCTGAGGCTCCGGAGTGGGTGAGTCAAGCCCGCAGCCGGACGGTGGGCTGTACCAGGATGGCCTGTCTCCCACGGCCGCCAACCTCTTCCCTCAAAGCGGCACTGAGAATCCGGTCAGGGACTTTGAACTGCCAGTCCTGCCTCTTGGACAAGTATTTCCTGGCTGCGAGTGGGCGGGGCGGGTCCCCTAAGGCTTTGAGTCCTTGCACAGGACCAGCAGGTGAAATCGTGGAACTGAATGCATCATCTCCTTTATAATCCTTTGTGGTTTTGTAAAAGATATACAACTGTTTCTTTAAGTTCCTGGCAGCTTCAGTATCATCCAGAAATTAATTTTAATGCAAACCACACTTAGCTCCGGCATGTGTAAAGCTTATTCCCTTTTCAAATTATTATTATCCCCAGGGCTTCTGGCATAGGGAGAAAGTGCTGTACCATGGAGCTAGCCACACTTCCTATCCTGCCCCCAAATTATCATTGCCTTATGTTTTCAGTACTAGGAATTGAACCTAAGGCCTTATGCATGCTGGACAAGTGTTGTGTCACTAAACTATATCCCCGGGCTTTGTTTTACTTATTAATATGGAGACAGGGTCTCATTAAGTTGCCAAGGCCAACTTTGACTTTCCTTTATAGCCCAGGCAAGCCTTAAACTTCCATTGTTCCCTCCTCGGGTGGGGGTGAAGTGGGAAAGGTGTTACAGGTGTTTGCCACTGCTGGGCTTGCAGAGTTTTTTGGTTGCTATAAATCATAATTATCTCACAAGGAAATCAATGGTTTTCTATTTGGGGGCAATACACAAATACTGTATTTGAATACGGGGATAAACTTTTCGGTTTATTTTCATATTAGTAAAATGAGTTTCCTCTGGTGTAGTAGAGCAAACTTGGCTGTTATCAGAACTGAAAAAGAAAGGGGGAGGGGCTGCCTCTGCTCCTGAGTTGTAACTTGAGCTCTGTCCACCAGGAAGAAGTCCCACATGAAGATTCTGCTATAGTAGTTAACAAAAAAAAAAAAAAAAATACCAACATGTCGTGTGCCACGCCGTTTAAGATGAGATTCGTTCATTTGGACCTTAAAGGAGCACCTCCGAAGGTTTCGTACCTCTCTGAGGTAAGGACTCCATTTGCCTCCAGATAAGCACCTTTTCCTCTGTGGCAGTGGGCACTGTGACATAACCGTGGGGACCCTGGATCAGGCAGGGCGGCGACATAGCATAGATTTTTCTTTTCCTCCCATTGCCCCTCAAAACCAGACAGAACAACCAGGATGGCACAAAGAACAGAAGAAACCACGATGTCTTTGTTGGGACTGAACTGTATCCACCAGAAAGAGAAATTCAAGTCTTAACACTTAGTGCCTGTTTAGTGATCTGACCCGAAAACAGTCCATAGAGAGTTGGCCAGTTAAGATGAGGTCCTACTTGATTTCTATGAGTCTGAATAAAAAAGGTGGATTAAGGGGCTGGAGAGATGACTCTGTGTTTGAGAGCACTGGCTGCTCATGCAGAGGACCCAGGTTCAATTCCCAGCACCCACATGGAAGCTCATTCCTGCCTGTAATTCCAGTTTCAGAGTATCCCACACCCTCACACAGATAGACATGCAGGCAAGACTCTAATACACATGAAATAACAAAATAAAAAAAGACACATGCAGGCCAAATACCAACACACATAAAAATTAAATGAATAAATAAATAAGAGTTACTTTTTAAAAAGGTGAATTGTGTGTGAGGTATATGTTTTGGAGAAGCACACTGTACACTTACCCATGTGTGTGCATGGGGAGATCATAGGTCAACAACAGCTGGTTTCCTCTATCACTGTATTTTTGGGGGGCGGGGACAGGATCTCTCACTGAACCTGGAACTCACCATTTCAGATAAACCCCATAATCTTCCTGTCTCTACCCTGCCAGTGCTGGGGTTACAGGCATACACCCCCATACCTGGCTTTTACATAAGTGTTAGGGATCTAAACTCAGGTAGAAGCGGAGGTTTTAGATGCGGGGAAGAGGAAAAGACATGTAAGAAGGACACCTGTGACAACAGAAGAAGAGATGGTAACGATAGTCACAGATCAGTGAACATGAAGGGTAGTTTTAACTACAGTAAGAGACAAGAAGGATGTCCTGCTATTTCCTGGCCTCCAGAACTATGAGAGAAAATTCCTGTTATTTGAAGCTATTTCATGTGTGATCAGTTCTTACAACCGTCCTCTAATACAAATATATTCTTCAGCATGAACATAGTAGCACTTATCTGTAATCCCAGTACTGGAGAAGTAGAGGCAGGAGCTTCCGGAGATCAAGGCCAGCATTGATCCTGAACTACATGAGACATTGTCTCAAAAAAGGTGGTGCTTGGCAGTGGTAGTAAAGACCTTTAATCTCAGCACTCGGGAGGCAGAGGCAGGAGGATCTCTGTGAGTTCGAGGCCAGCCTGGTCTACAAGAGCTAGTTCCAGGACAGGCTGCAAAGCTACAGAGAAACCCTGTCTTGAAAAAAAAAAAAGGAAAGGAAAGGAAAGGAAGGAAGGGAAAGAAAGGGAGGAAGAAAGCAAGCAAGCAAGGTGGCTCAGGACAGAGCAGATCCTAGCACTTAGGAGGTGGAGACAGGAAGGTCAGTTCAAGGTCATCCTCAGCTACTAGTGATTTTGAGGCCAGGTTTTACGACACGAGAGCCCCTGTTTCAACTCATATCAAACCCCTCCTACTGAAAAGGGGAGAGGAAGGAACAAGGAGATCTCTGACTTAGTGATCCTCCTGGCAAGCCAGCTGCAGTGACTCGGGCAGTGCCCCCCGGGAAGAAGGTCCATGGAGGTCTGGCCATGGCATCTGGCCGGTGCCATTTTGGAAATAGTCTTGCCCAGAAAATGAAGCCTGGCTTTTAAAGACATGGTCAGCGACATGACTCAGTGGATAAAGTCCCTTGCTACTAAACCTGACAACCTGAATGTGATCCCTAGGCCCCACAGCTGGAAGGAGAGAACTGACTCCTGCAAGGTGTCCTCTGACTGTACCTAGGGTCTGGTGTGTGTCCCCATACATACATACATATATATCCACACACACATAAACAAATGCAAGATTTTTAACTTGACTGTAGCTAACGACCAGCTTCAGGAAAATGGAATGTAGATATGCTAAGGGACATTTGAAAATGCAGTCAGACACAGAACAAATGTTGGTGATTTTTAGCAAATAAATTTGAAATTAAAACACAGTATTTGTTATCAGTGAGAGGCTGATACAGGAAGAGGCAAGTGTGGGCTTCATAGTTCTAGGCCAGCCTGGAGTGCAGTATGATACCCTGTCTCAAAATAACGTCATATAAGTAGGAAGCAAAGACAGTCAGATCTCTGTGAGTTCCAGGACAGCCAGCACTGTTTCACAGACAGACGCTGTCTTGAAAAACCAAAAATCTGCTCAAGGGGCTAGTGAGTCCTGCCAACCTGATGACCCTTTATAAAGGAAGAAGAAAACCATATCCCCAATTCTCTGATCTTCACATAGGCACTGTGCCCCCCCCCCTTAAATGAATATCAGTTCCCATCCCTCTCCAGAACTTAGAAAGGAAAAAGGTGCACATTCAGCTAAGTCCTTCGTTGTTCAGATTGCCACTTTTAACCCGTTTCTCTCCAGGTGTTTCCCCTATTCCACGCACTCGGTGCAAATGGTCTTCTCATTGAGTATGAAGACATGTTTCCCTATGAGGGCCGCCTGATGCTGCTGCGGGCCAAGCATGCCTACAGGTATCAGCTAGCAGAGGGTGCCCAGGGGGCGTGAGGGCCTCCAAAAAGGGTGGCTTGTTCAGAACTGTGGGTGGGTTATTGGAGTCTAATAGCTTACATTCCTTTTCTGACTTTCTAAGCATATGTCTTTATTTATATGTTGATTACAAAATTAAAACATGTAGCCTGGTGTGGTGGCTGACACCTGTGTTCCCAGCACTTGGGAGGCTGAGATAGGATGATTGTTGAAAGTCAAAGGTCAGCTTTGGCTGCAGAGTGAAATCCTGTCTCAAAAACAAAGCTGGCAAGGCAGTGGTGGTGTAGCATGTAATCGCAATGCTTGGAAGGCAGAGGCAGGTGGATCTCTGTGAGTTTGAGGCCAGCTGGAACTACAAATTGAGTTCCCAGATAGCCAGGGTTTTTACACAGAGAAAAAACAAACAAACAAAATGGTGGTATACAGGCAAAACACTCATATCAAAAAAAATGTATTTAAGTAAAGCATTGAGCGCCTGGAGGGATGTCTTTGTGTTTAGGGGCAGTTCTGCTTTTACAGACGACCTGGGTTTGGTTCCCAGGGCTCATGTCCTGGCTCACAACCACTTGTAACTCCAGGGAATCCAGTGTTCTCTTCTAACTTCCTCAGGTTCCCACAGGCACATGGCACACACAGAACGGGAGCACACACACACATGCAGGGAGTAGTTTTTAAGTAAAACATACACATTAAAGATGGTCAAGAAGCATTTAAAAGAACACCTGCTCTGACTCTATGGGGAGAGTAAGAAGTCATGGGGCAGCTGGAACTGGGCTGCTTTTAAGGCCACAATTGGATTTTTTTCTCATGTGTTTATGTGTCTGTCTCGTGTGTGTGTGTGTTGTGTTTGCATTCACGTGTGTACGGGTGGATGTGTGCAAGTACATGTGGAGGCCTGACATCCCAAGACTTTATCACTCTCCACCTTATTTGTTGAAGCAGCATCTTTGGTTGAATCCAGAACACACCATTTTGGCTAATCTGGCAAGCCAGCTTGCTCTGGGATTGCCTGTCTGTGCCTTCTGAGCACTGGGATTACA